CCGCAGAGGTGTGCATAGGGCAGGGGCTGACCACAGGGACCTGAAACCTCAGAGGTGGGGGCTGCTTTTAATGGGGCTGCAGCAGGCTGGAGTGTGGTGGTCATTCTGCCGTTATCCAGGCCCAGGGCCGAAGGACAGTCCTTGCTCTTGTCAACCTAAATAACAGAGGCTCTCTAAAATATTTATCTGGCAATAGGGCAGTGCCATGAGAATACACATGCCACAGTAAACCATGTGCATATTCAGGGATGTAAAGGAAGACGAGGTTCTTAAAAGAAAAATGAGAATTACATAATTGTTTTGTGATAATTAACCTTGGCTACAAGGATTAATAAGGGTGACTCTAGTCTGAGGTTGGACAGGCTGGGCAGATGTCCTTCCAGAAGTATTTTTTGTGTAAGGTTGCAATGGTCTTTTGTGCAAGGTTGTGGTTTTTTGCAGAATCTTTTGTGATAGTTTTTTCTTTTTCTTTTTTTTTCAGACAGGGTCTCACTCTGTTGCCCAGGCCAGAGTACAGTGGTGTAATCATAGCTCACAGCAACCTCAAACTCCTGGGCTCAAGCGATCCTCCTGCCTCAGCCTCCCCAGTAGCTGGGACTACAGGTGCACCCCCCACCACACCGGCCTCTTTTTATTTTTAGAGAGGGGGTCGTGCTATATTGCCCAGGCTGGAGTACAGTGGCTATTCACAGGCGCGATCCTGCTGCACTGTACGCTCAAACTCGGGGCTCAAGCCATTCTGTTCCTCAGCCTTCTGAGTAGCTGGGACTACAGATGTAGGCCACCTGGCACTATTTGTCAGGGTTTTTTAAACACTTGACTCCGTTTTGATTCTGACAACGTTCACACCCTCAGGAAGCTCACAGCCTAAGCCCCACATTTTCAAGCGCAGTGGAAGTGTGGCAATGCCACCTCCCTTCCTGGTCGTCTGTTCCCTGTGACCACGAGGTCTCAGTCACACACCACCTTCCTGAGAAGGCCCGAGAAAGAATCAGCCAAGGGACTTAAGCATCTAAGGCTCCACAACCCAGAAAGCTGCCAGAGCGGCACATCCAAGCTCCAAGCATCCAGGGCTCCTTCTAGGGCTGGTCGGTGCTGCCCGGGGCGCTCTCTGTCCACCTGGCTGACAAAAAGCCTTAGGACCTTACACAGTTCCCTTGATTTCTGTCCAGAGGTGACACACGCAGCTGCGGGGGGTTGAGGTGAGGGGGAGAGGGTTGGGGTCGCCAGGCTTTTTGGAAAAGCACACTCAACCATAGGGGCAAAGGACTGATGTGGGAAGCAGGTTGCTGACACCCGCGCTCCAAAGGGACGTCCCTGGTGGAGGAGGCTGGGCTGCACCCCGCCAGGTGTGGAGATGCTGAAGGTTCTTCTGCCTCGACGTTCCCCGACACGGGCGCCCTCCGATTCCCCTGTGCTCCTAAGGGCCCCAGAGTTACCCCTCCCGGCATACCCATTCCCGCAGTGGCCTCAGTAGAGCAGCTCCCCTAGGCCCCAGGCGTAGGGCGGATGGCGCGCCGCGCACGCGCACCAAAGAGCTCAGCGATGACCCCGCCCCTCGCCTGCTCGGTCTCGTACCTTCCGCCCTCTGGGGGCGGGGCTAGCGAGGCTTCCGCCGGAAGCCCGGAACCCATCCCGGGAGTAGGGGCATTGCGGTCGCTACCGTGTCCTCCGGCTGCGAGTGGCTGATTACGCGTGCTGTCTCCCGCGTATCTATTTCGCTTTTCAAACCCAGTTCTTACACGGTCCTGAGACACCACCCCCCTTTTTCACATCCCATTTCCAGCTGCAATTTCTGCAGAGTCTGAACCCAGAAAAGGCCCCCATTTGCCGCCCCCGTCCGCCCTGCCCGGCCTGGGTGAAGTTCTCGCCTAGCTTTCCGGCCTCGCTTTTCCCACTCTCCCGCCCGTCCCCCGGATCCTCCAACGCCCGGATCATGGCCCAGAAGCCGAAAGTAGACCCCCACGTCGGGCGCCTGGGATACCTGCAGGCGCTGGTCACGGAATTCCAGGAGACAGAGAGCCAAGGTGAGAGCCGCGCGGTGGGGGCCGAGGGACCGGGCTGGGTCTGGCCGCGACTGCCGCCCCGGACCTGGCTCTAGTGCCGCTTTCCCGTTGCAGACGCCAAGGAGCAAGTCCTTGCCAACCTCGCGAACTTCGCCTATGACCCCAGCAATTACCAGTATCTGCGGCAGCTGCAAGTCCTGGATTTATTTCTCGATTCACTGTCGGAGGAGAATGAGACCCTGGTGGAATTTGCTATTGGTAAGTGTAGTTCCGGTTGCCCAGATGCCTGATGGACTGGGATGAGATAAGTGAGTTGAGAAAGGAATGTATGAGGCAGTCCCTCAGCCGTAAAAGCAGACCTTCGCGATGTCTGTGCCACCACCGTTCACACGTTGTCCAGGCCACAGCTACCTTGAGACAGGTCTGGAACTCAAGCCCACGAACCGTTCTGCGTGTCTGCCCTTCCTCCTGCTTAGAGATAAGATCATAAACAAGAGAATGGATTGAAGCCACTTGGAGGTCAAAAAGTTTGTAAATTGCTTTTTTAAAAACATTTTTTTCACATCTGCAATCATAGCACTCTGGGAGGCCGAGGTGGGAGGATTGCTTGAGGTTGGGAGCTCCAGACCAGGCTGAACAAGAGCGAGACCCCATCTCTACTAAAAATAGAAAAATTAGCCTGGCGTGGTGGCATGCACCTGTAGTCCCCGCTACTCCGACGGATGAAGCAAAAGGATCGCTTGAGCCCAGCAGTTGGAGGTTGCAGTGAGCTATGATGACGCCACTGCACTGTAGCTGGGATGACAGAGCTAGACTCTGTCTTTAAAAAAACACACACACATACACACTTTAATGTTTTAATTAAGAGAAGTAGAGATGACTTGGAATTTGTGGCTTACGGCTCTCGCAGTTGTTATGATCTTAGGACCTACTGAATTGCTCACTGGACAGATGTTTATTAGGCATGTACTGTATACGCGAGCTACTATTGTAAATGCTGGGAGGTGGTGAACAAATTGGGAAAGGGTCTTTGCTCTCAAGGAGCTTACGTTCCAGTAAGGGGAGACAGAGAGCAAGCAAACAAGAAAGATGCTGCTCAGAAGGAAATAAGTAGGGTGATGAGAGAGCGCAACAGATGGGGGCTACTTAAGTTTTGGCCATCATGGGAAGGACATTCTAGCGGAGGTGCAGCATGGGCAAAGGCCGTAAAGCAGGCATGAGCCAGAAGGAAGGTTGGCGTGGCAGGATTGTGGTAGTGAAGTGGAGAATGGCACAAAAATAGGTTAGAGAGGTTGGTGACACCAGAGCTTACAGCGGCTTAGATTGATGGGAAGTGGATGGAAGGAGTTTGGAATTTATTCTGAGAGCAAATAGAAATTCTTTTTTCAAGCCATGCATGGCATCTTCCTGTAGTTCCAGCTACTCAGGAGGCTGAGGTGGAAGGATCGCTTTGAGCCCAGGAGTTTGAGGCTGCAGTGAGCTATGACCTGGGCTGCACATGGCATCTACACTCCAGCCTCGGCGACGTAGCAAGACCTTGTCTCTTAAAAAAAATTTTTTTCCAGTATACATCTTTTAAAACTAACATTTCTCTACGTATTGAAAGGAACCTTACTTAGGGAAAGAAACCTTTAATAATAATTACGATATCACCTAATACTCTGTTATGTAAATTTTTCTAATAGTTCCCAAAAGGACATTTTTGTGTTAGTTTGTATAATCTGGGATCTGTGTATTTCACCTGGTGGTTATGTTCCTTAGATCTCTCTCTTTTTAAGTAAAATTTTTATTTTAGAATAGTTTTGTTGTTTTGTTTTGGAGACAGGGTCTTGCTCTGTCTCCTAGGCTAGAGTGCTATGGCATCATCATAGCTCACTACAACCTCAAACTACTGG